ATTCCGCTACTTGAAAAGTTGATCGCGCTACTATTTAGCGGCCCGCCGGAAGATACCAAACGACGTTCGAATTACGTACCGTAGCGTGCCTTCACATGTGGCAATTTCAGAGACGCCTAACCGATGATGACGGTCAAGCCACTGTTAACTTACATTTTGCCAAGTTTTTGATTCATGTAGTTCATAGAGAACATGCTTTCACTGCACAAAACCCAAAAGTACTGCCAAATGAATGCATCCTGTATATAAAGTAATGTACTGTAAACTCATTACAGTGGTTTTAGGACGTTAGAATTCACTAGCGGTCTTCGTGTTGCCACTTATGCAGATTTAAAACTTTAAAAAAGTTTCAAACTTTGCAAACATTATCAAATTAAAAAAGGGATTGGAACAGAGAATTACTGTGGACGAGTCACAATACAAGGAGGTCTGGTTCTTGTCCGAGAACTTGTCTTGACCTCCAGTTGTGTAACTATAGTAAATGTACCGAGTGAATTAAGATGCAACTCGTGCAGTGTACGGACTTCTACACAATTACAATGTTTGAATAGCTCTGAGTGTATCCCACCCCGTACTTTCTCTCTAACTTTTACGATTATGGAAACCTGCCTCCTATTGCCAAAGGACAGACTACGCTAGATAGGAATCATTAAAAAAACCCCAACCAAACCCCAACCAACAACCAAAACCAGTGTCTTACCCTATCAACCTTCATTATTTGGAATCGCTGAGAGATATCAGCTGTGTTAGCTGGCAGTCGAGATCTTCCTGACACAAACCTCATGAAAAGGACTCTCTCCTCATTTGAAAACTCTTCAAGGGTATGCCAGAACCACTGTACTAGCTGATGCTGCTCATCAACTTCTCTGTATCGCACAACTTTCTTCAGAACTTCAACCGATATTTCTGGCATTCCACAGACCATTTGCTCCAGCTGCTTGGCAGTCAGAAGAGACAACAAAGGAACCGGAACAATCCAAGACATTCCTTCTCTTACTGCAGCCACCTATTGCCCCAAAAAAGAAGAGACATTTGAAGTGCAATTGCCTCGCCTCTGCCGCTCACTGCACCATCCCGATGCAAAAGTAACGTGTCAGCTGAGAAATGGGATAAAGAGATACAATTATAGAACATCTGCCATATACAACGTCCCACACGTGCAGCTGTAAGGTCTGTATCCTCTCTCAAAATCCCGGAGAACAGTACAGGTATTTTTAATTGCAATTGCACATTAAAGTACGTGTTTTGCTACAAAACAGAGGGACTGAAGAAAAGTACAAGTTAGCAGCGCAAACGATGACGGCTAAACCGAAACACGGCGTATATGCCGTACGTCTGAGCTGGAACGGTCGTATTTGTAAGACGCCCGTACTTGTTCTACAAGATTCGGGATTTGGTACCTCTGAAAGGAAAGTTATTTTTCTAATGCTGATAATATCGTGCGTGCATCTGTATCTTGACAAAAAGGAAAAGTTTTTTCCTAGCATCTAATCAGTATTCTGTTTTCACAAGCTTCACTATGCCGATGACAAAATACACAAAACTATGCAAATAGGTAATTAATCCTTCTCAAAACATAGCATGAAATACATGTGCTAAAGCAGAAGAGAAATACCTTCCAGTTAAACAAATGTTTGTCGATAATACTTACTTTAGCTAGCCTCTACGTTGCTATAATGTCTGATTACGGTGGAGAGCACGCACAATTGCAAGTTATTTTCTCAAGCGGGGCTGATGGTTGCAGTTGGGCTACTCTAATGAAAGACAAGTTCTGGTTTCTAATGCTCCTTTGTCAACCGAGCAATTACTAAGAAAAATAGGACTACTTTACAACAAAACCTCAAAACAGTTTGACGGAGGCGGGGGGAAGCCACGGGGAGCCGGGTGAGATGCAGAAAGCCAAGCTTTTCTTATTCCCTAATAAATAGGAACGGACACTTGCAAAAATCAAAACCACCGTCCCCGCTAACGATGCGGATAGCGTCGCAATGACATTCTTACCTGACGGTCCATTTCGTGCAGTCTGTACTCAATTGCCCTCTCCACATATTCTTTCCTGTTTGAAAAGGTAAGTGGGATACTGTTCCCTCCAGGAATTATGGGAACCATTTTACCATCAGCACTTTGGCCAACGAAAGAATCTAAAGGAATCATCTGTTATGCAAAATGGGAAAAGTATGGTCAGCGTAAGTCACTACAGTGATCTAAGTTTCCTACTTTACTATCAGTCACCTACAACTACAATCAGATCACAAACTATTCCAAATACACATAAAGTGCTTGTTATCCCAATAACGGAGACATTGAATTATATAAATGCTGATGTTAAGGTCACTCTGATAAAGTACCCGTTTTGAGAATAAACCTAAAAGCTCCAACTTTCCCATCTTACCTCATGGAAATTTTCTTCAGTAATCCCACTGTCTTCAATGTGAAGAATGCTGTTGAGGGTCTGCACATAGAGCAGATCTACCTCCTCCAAATCCTCCAAGATGAGTGGGATACAACAAAGTTGCTTCCAGACCATTGGAGCCAAATGAAGATCTAATGGCTTTTTTGTACGAATAGCTACACCCATGAGAATGCCCAAGAACTTAAACTGCATCAGATGTTCATCTAAACATGCTGAAGGGTTAAAGAGAAACCTGAAAGAACAAAGAATCAGTGAAAATACTCTAGTATCATTTCTGTGCTACTTCATTAGAAATAAAAGACAAAACATTACGAAGCACGGCATAGTAACTGTCAACACAATTATCAGCAAGGGATGTCCAAATAAGAAGATTATCGTTATCTTTGACCGTTAAAACCATGGAGGCCGAGACAGGCGGAACTAATCCTGACCGCAAAGGCTGGCCTTCTTGGTATTACTCTGAATTCTGCCATCAGCAATCCAAGAACTTCACGTTAAAACCGTACCCTCTCCTTCACAATAAAGTTGCACCGCAACCTCAAGGAAACAAATATATACTAGAGACAATTGTGAAGTCTCATCATGAGGTACAAAATAAGTAATAGAAGATTTTAATCCTTACCCGCTAACGTCTGCAAGAAAAGCAAATTCTGGACAACTTACCTATCCCTATTGTAGCCTACTTCAGCTGTAGCATTTGGGGAAGGAATAAGCAAGTCTACTATTCCAGTTTCCAGTTCCTTAAAAATCAACAACAAAAAAGCCTTCTTAGACACAGGGATAACAAACCTGTTACAGAAAAATTATGACATTATGGCATTACAAGACAAGATATTCCATTAGAGTGGTGATTACTTCTTACAAATTTCTGTGAAACCTTTAAGAGAAAGTTAACACAATAGGAATGATTTTTAGTAATAAAAACGCGTTTATTTCAAGACCTGCCCCTACAACAGACTATAATGGTTATTTTACTGTGACTGCTCTGTGATACATTCCCAGTACCCATTTCAGAAATAATCGGAAGCTGTAAGCTATACATACCCTACTAGTGCAGCTTTATTCAAGAACCAGAAATGAACCAAATTTTTCAATGGGTTCTGTTCTGAACCTTGATCATACCTCATATTTAATGTAAACCATCTAGGAAAGAACCCAAAAATTACACCTCAAGTCCTTACCTGAATCAACCCCAGCCTAGTCTTACAGGTTTCAGAAATTCCATTAACAAACACAGTTCTTCGGCTTCTTCCATCCTGCATCCTATCTCTAACTCCAATGACAGATCCAGCACTATCCACAGCTGTTGCCCTGCCTCAGATCAAGCAGATACGCTGATTATCCCCACTAATCTGCAATCCTTTGGGTTTTGAGGGTCCTGGAAGATTAAGAAACAACCGAACTTCTCCAGCCAGTGTTGTCTTAAATCCTTCTCCTGACTACAACCACAGTAGCATCACATGGCTGAGATACACCTTTAAAACTATAAGCAGTACACATTAGCATTGACCTGTTTTCTCTTAGTCCTGACAGTCTGAAGCCTTCAGTTTCCAGGTGAATCTGAAAAGACAGCTACTTGACAATTCTAACAATATCCTGGTTACAGACTGGCAACAATGTGCACTTTCTGCTACCGATCTTCTTTCCAGCACTGACCCTGAGAGGTGACACATCTGAGAAACACCTGCTTGAGGTGTACTGTAAGCATGGAAGGTACTGTAATCATGGAATGCAGTACTGCTTCTCTTATCAAAGCTACTGGCTGAAATGGGGGGGCTGCAAAACGCTCCCATAACGTGTAGGGGCCATCTCAGCATTCCAAGGGGCCTGTTGTAATACTTGTTACAGTGTGGCCTTATGGCATCTCCTTGCCACAGTCTAGGAAGATTTCTTTATCCTCAGAGACATCCCTACGTCAGCAGCTCTAGCACTGTGGCTCAGGACTGAAGAACAAGTATTTGCTAAGCTGCAAAAAGGAAACATGGAAAATACTAAAAGACACCAGAAAGAACACAAACTCTACTCAGGCATTTTGAACTACCAGATGTTTCATACCTGGCACATTTCTGTAATAGTGTCATCAAACACTCCGCCCGCATCATCAGCTCCTTCTCCAACCAGTTTCACTTTCCAGGCACGGGAAGGTAGGCGAAGGTCTGATGCGTTCAGCTTTACCACTTGTCTTGCTATCTGTACAAAAATGGGCTTGCATTTCCGACCTCTTTAAAAAAAAAAAAAAAAAAAAAAAAAAAGACGACACAGCCATACAATGTAACTCATAAACATGAAAAGGGTACCGAAGTCACTTGATTAACAAAGTTGTACAAAGAGAGCTCGGTATGCCACAAGTTAACGTCTGAAATATAAAACACGTCTGAATATAGGTATTTGTCTGAGGTCTAACACAATGCTTGTGAAAACAATACTGACCTGGTTGATATCCTTTTCACAGTAATCTGTGGCCCATAGTTTTTCCCCTGAACCATAGTTTTTCCTATAGAGCGTACCATGGGCAGCGTGTATACTCGTGGTGCTAGCAAGGGCCTCAGCTGTCCTTGAACTATTCCCCATGTTCCAGCATTGTAATGAGATGTACTGTTCTGCAATAAATCGGAATGAGAATAAACAAATTAATAAGGAATATTAATTCCATTCTTTACAGAATATAAATCTTCATACTAATCACTAGCACTTCAGTGTTTCAGGAAACAGACAGGTTAGCACTTTTTGGTTTTAGCTTTGAGGCTAGTAAGCTTTTGGAAAAGCAAAAATATATAACAATACTTTGACAAAGTTCGGTTTTATCTGGATTTATATTTTCTTTTATTTATATCAAAAAATCTATAGAACCTGTTACTAAGACCCATCCCGATCCTGGTCAGAAACTCTCTAGCGACATGGCATAACACAACACAGCTAAGCTGTTGGGGTTTGTTTGTTTGTTTGTTTATTTTTCAAATGGAATTTTACCTGGTTATTGGGACTGAGGTTAAGTAATCTCCAGGAAGAGTACATGAGGTCAGAAAAATGGTACAACAGTCTTAGCCTTGCTCTTACTGTATGAATGCTCACTTCTTTCAGCGCCCCATACTGTGGTGGAATGGCATCAGGTAAACCAAGCTGTAAAGGCACTGAAACACCTACCACAGAAAAAGAAGAAAAAGCATTATTTCATAAAGCATAGCTGTACTGCTTTTGGCTGGGGTAGAGTTGATTTTCTTTGCAGTAGCTTAGGCGGTGCTTAGCTGGCTACTGGAGTTAAGCCACGGCAGTTGCAAAATTAAGAGACTAAGACCATTTGAAAATCTGCACGGATATAAAACAAATTTTGTACCAAACCTTCAGAAGTTCTTCTTGCATTCATCCTCCAGGAAGCACAAAGACTACATCAAATCACCACACAAACAATCTCAGCTCTTTACCTGGAGCTCTTGGTGGAACAGGCGGAGCTGTCCAGGCAGCATTGAAATCTGTCGAACGTTCTTTCCTTGCAGGACTGTTACTAGGGTTGGTTCTCTGACGTGGTTGGTATGGCCCAGTCCAAGCTGACGATTTATAACAGATGTAAAAGGAACAAAGAAGAATCAACAATTGATGATACTGCTAAAATTCTCTAAGCAAAAATTCAGAGCAAATGGTAAACAAATGGTATTAGTCTACAGCTTATAATGGCATACAAAAATATTTACCATATACATATTATTATGCTACCATTTACCTTTTATTTCCAATAAAACATTGCATCCATACTCAATGGGAGTAGCAGATCCAGGTGTCAAAGAGACCTTAAAACAGCTAGATGTTTTTTGCAAGCTCTTTTGCAGACTGAGGAACTAATCTATGACGCTAAGTCATCTATGTTGCTCGGTCTCTCATGGAGAGTGAACGTGGGTCATATGTCTCTTCTGTGCCATTTAAATACATTTTTTGTACTAGCACATAAATTCCTAAAATAGTTTATCAAAACACAATTTGTGTAAAGAGAAAGTTTACTGAAGCTGACTTTTTACTGATGGTTTCATATCATAGTCTGATTTCATATTCTAACCATGAAAATTTCATATTACAAAAATATAATTTTTTTTACCCCTTCATATAAAACAAATTTTTTGCACTGCAAGGAAAAATCATATAAAACAGGCTGTCAGAACAAAGTTTCTCTCAATTTTTTACCCTAACATTTTTTTCTCTTCCAGAAACACAAAGTAAGCACCCTACTAAAAACAAAACAAAAAAACTTTGTTCTTTCCGGTTCCTCTCTGCAGTTATTTGAAACAACTTGCCCGACAATCCTTCTCAAAAACTTAATTCTGAAATACCAGAGGACAAATTGTGCCCAAACTTCCTGAAACACCAACAGCCAATGAATCGAGAGGTTCTTTCTTATATTTGTAGTGTGCAAATTGTCAAAAAGCTGAAGTGGTTTCAAAAATTTGAGTTAATACATGGGATGAGGGAGGAAAATGGACTTTTAGGGGCAGGGATAGAATTAGGTTCCCAAAGAAAAGAGAGGATTTATTATTTACTAATTTTTTTCTTGACTTTAAAACATCACTAAAAAAAGTGATTTTGTATTTTCTTTATGAAAAGCATCTACAGAGTTCGCAAATCTGATTGATATCAACCATAACTGTTATCATGTTGAAAAAGCTGATGACAGCTCAAGATTTAGGTAAAAATTTGTAATTTTTTAAAAAAAACTTCAGTTATAATACATTGGGTAGAATGTTTTCAGTGCTTTCCCAAACTACTACCATGTAAGAGCACAGGAAATAAAAAAAGACAATAATGGAAATGCCTAAAATGTTGTTATGGCTGGGGGATGAGGGGGGAGGGAAGGAGGAGAACAAAAATAAAAGCTTTCTTTTCCACAAAAGTAAAGGTATTCGAATCACATCTGTAAGGTATAATTATAGCCTTACAAAGGTTAGAAATAAACAGGGAACAGTACATACCTGCCCTTCAGAGTTGCTACCCCAAGCATATACATCCCCTGTCGATGATAAAGCTAGCGTATGCTCTGCTCCTACAGCTATGTCTTCAATGAAGATTCCTGACAGCACTGGAACTTGTTGGGGTCTGTTGTGATTTCGAGCTCGACCTTCTGGCAAACCTATCAGGCGATCTACAATTGCAAGCACACATCTATATCTTTCAAGAACATTAAAAAGTTAATTTTAGCTGCAGGCAGAGGTCAAGGAGGGACAAAAAGGAATTCTACACACTCTTGGAACTGGGACAGAAGTGCAATTGGTTAGAGAGAAATCTAGCATATGTTTCCTACAAAACAGTGCTCCCCACAGCGCTCGTTAATATCGCTAAAGCTGTTATTTTCACCTAAAGTTTGAAACAAGATCAAATTCTATTAAAACGAGACTTCTAGATCTCACTGTATGGTTTTATAATACATATGAATTAACTGACTCGAGAAGTTTGAACACGTTTAATTTGGTGCAATGCTGAAGTTCCAAAATTCAGATTAGGTCAGCACAAACCTAAAAAGGAGCATTAGGTCAGTCTTATAAATAGGTTTTCATATTCTTCCTTCTCACTTGCAATACACACAAACCTACAAATGGAAAGGTCTAAATACCAGATTGTCCTACCTTGTCCAAAAGTATACACATGACCGTCTTTTGTCAGTGCAACAGAGAACTGGGTTCCACAGGCAACTTTTTTTATTCCAATTCCACAAAGAATATCCACTTTCTAAGGGGTAAGAGAAAGGAAAAAGAGCTACGGTATTATGAGGATATAAACAGAAAGCAAACGTGAATTTAATCTGTGACTCCTGCTTCCAAAAAGAAATTTTATAATTCCCACAACGCCCACATTACAGGATTACTCAATGCTCCGCATAACGTATCATCAGAATTATTTATGCTAGATTGTATTAGAACAGTATAATTTATATTACACAGAATTAATAATTTAACTGCTGCAAATTACACTCTGAACACTGTGTAATATGCTTAACAACATTGAAAATTTATGCAAAGGACAATTTCTCTATGAATTCTAACCTGTGGTGAGGATTTTGCAGTGGAATTTCCCAAACCGAGTTTACCATAATCTCCATCTCCAAAAGCCCAAACCATTGAGCCATCTGTTGACACAGCTACAGTATGATTGAGTCCACAGGCCACCTGGTTGAGAGAAATACGTTGTTACCACAGTCTTTGCTAACTTACTATTAACTCAAACACCTCAACTGCCTTAAGAAAACAAAAATTGTGTTTTAAAAAATAAGTATCCTTTTAAAACCGTTAAAACCTCCATTGCTTATTACAGTGTTTTAAAGACATTTAGGACTACACTAGTATTTTTTAGGTATTTTCTTCCTCTCAGCTCCTAGAACCAAACAATAGTATTATGCTATACATGCTCATAGTTTAAGAATACAAAACAGCTCATGAATTCATGCTTCAATTACCTAAATCGCGACATGTTAAAAAACAAGGGCACTTTTTCAGAAAGAGCATGAAAAGAGTCAGGAAAGTAATTATTTCAAAAATCCAATTAAAAGCCAAGGTTAAAAACCAAACCAAACCAAAACCAAACCAAAACCCAGAACACTTAAATATGTCGAAAACATCAGCTTTAAACCAAAGATACATTGTTAGTTTTAGATAACCGTGCCTGTCCTATCTGGTAACCTTCCAGCGCTGTCACTCTTTCTGGAAGTTTCTTATTGGAAGTATTTCCAAGTCCTAATCGACCATAGTCACCGTTTCCAAATGTAAATAGTTTGCCATCTGCTGTCACCACAGCTGAGTGTTTGAAGCCACATGACATCTGGAAGCAAAATAAACATAAGTTTTACATACGTTAGAAATTTTGGGGCGGAAATTATACTAGCTATTACATGTAAATATGTAATACCTTTTCCTTCCCTAAATCATATTCACTTTATAAAGAGTTAAAATACAGATATTTTACTATTAATGATTTCTTCAACAAACTGTCTCTTACTCTTCTAAACAGTAACGGTCAGGGGGAGGACAGGTGGGTATTTGTGTGAAGAAAGGCTTTCAGGTGTTTCATTTGTTTGTTTACTTTTACCAACTGCTGTTTTCTGCAAACAGATTGCTTTTGCTGTGTGAATATTTTATATTTTTGTACAGAAACCTCCAGTCAAAGCCAAATACGCTTTTGTGCTTTGTTATAATGAACACTTAATGCTTAGGAGGTGGTCTCGGTGACTAGTTTTCTAGGTCAAAGACACCTGACAAGGATGAAGGGAAACTTCTAAATCGTGTCTATATTTTGACAATTTTTAGGTCATCTCTGTCTTCCATGCTCTTTCTAATTTTTAGTCCTCTCCAGTAATAACTGTCAATTAACATCACACCTCAACATGAGCTCTGTGATATTAACATCCTTCAACTGGAAATTATCACTTGGTTCATAAAGCTCAGAGAAGTAAAAAGTTGCCTGTTTTCATTCAGTATATGAATTCAAACTGTCAAGACTGACAGTGGTTCTGGAACGTTCCTAGCACAAGGTTACCATGCCTGCAGTTTGTAGGAGACAAAAAAATATTTTGGAACCTGCACCACTTCTTCTCCTTGCAGAGCCTCTATTTGTCTAGGCCTGCGCTGTCTGTCACTGTTCCCATGTCCCAGTTTGCCATAATCTCCATCTCCCCAGCTGAAGACTTCCCCGCTTTCTGTTAAAGCCATGGAATGTCCATCAGATCCACAAGAGGTCACCAGCTGTGTTACAACAAAGCCTGGTAAAGAAAAATGAGAAAACACAGTTTAGAATACATTAGAATAAACTCTTAATGTACATTTATCCAAGTGCCCCTAGCGGTAGCCACTTAAGTCTAGTGAAAGGAACCAACCACAGTAACAGTTTTCTTGTTACAACAATTTATTTGTTTTTATTTTGAACAAACTCTTCATCTTCTCATGTACAACCTACGCTTCTGGCCTGCCATTAGTTTTGAAATGAAACGTTCCTACCTTGAGCAAACAACTTTTCCCTGAGGCCTTCTTAAAATTAAGGAATTTTAACATATTACTACTTCAATCTTACAGAGAAATAAACACTTAGTTTATTTGCTCAATTTTTTAATTAAAGACTATTAAAGACTTTAATTAAAGACTATTAATTTTTAAGGACTATTATTTTAACGTGTGAATCTGCAAAAATAGCATCAATACAAAGAATTATATAAACTACCTAAATGCTTATTTGTGGGTTTTTTCAATTGACTCATATCAAACCCAACAATTTTACCTTGCAGTGCTGAAATGACTGTTAACACATGAAGATCATCAGAATTTCCTTGTCCCAGTCGCCCATAGCTCCCTTCTCCACAAGCCAAAACCGTGCCATTAGCTTGAATGACAAAAGTACAATTCTGACCACAAACCACCTATTTTAGGAAGACACAAAGGAGTTCTAATCATTTCTGTGTTAGATGCAGCAACGTTGCAATACCTGTATTACAATGTACAATCTTCTTTCTTCATTTTTTTTTCTTTGTAATTTTAGCAAGACAACCGACTCTTTTGTCACACCACAAATAGCTGTGTGACAACCCAATTAATGTAAGACTTCACTCACCCCATGCTTAATGGCGTTTAGTTACCCAGTCACATCATAGTAAAAATTACTTGCTACTAGTTTTGGCAAACCTTCTTCCAGTGAGAGAAATCACAACATACTTCTACCTGAGATTTTGTTTTGATGTTTCCATGCTGAATGTCAATGTTATTTCAGGGGGGAAAAAAAAAAAAAATTGGCACATGTATTATATTAAAGCTGTGCAGGTATTTTCCAATCATGCTCATAGCAAACAATTTTGTCAGATTTCAGCAGCTTCTTGGTTTGCATTTGTCAAATAATTAAAGAATTCCTCTTCAGTGAAAACGCATGTTTTGGGGGTACTTTATAGTACATTCAAATAACAAATTGAAAAGACATTTAGAGAGAGATTTTGACAAATTGTACAACGAATACATGATACATCATTAAAAATAAAAGCACATGGCTCTTTTTAAATGATCACCTGCTGAGCCTGAGAGAATGAAGGTGCTGCTACTGGTATCATGACATTTCTACCAGCTTCTGCTAACTGTCCGTGTCTTCCTGCTCCCCACAGATACACATCACATTTGCCTCCCAAGTGCCAATCCTATGAAATAGCATGAAACAATGCTTTAGAAGAAGAGTACTTTCAACAGCTTACAACGTTTTTAAAAAAAAAAAAAAAAAAAAAAGTAAAAAATGGCCAAAGCCACATCAATTTTACTAACCTCTGGCCTTGATGTTGCCCATGACATTATCTGTTCATCCATACCATTGATCCATTTACTGTTATCCTATCCAACAAAAGCCACAGTTACTACATTCAGTTCAAGAGATGCACATTATTTTGCTGTTATGTAATACATATTATCCTTTGTAGCTAAGAACACTATTGACATTCAAATTATTCTAAACAGTACAGCAGTAAGAATGAATGTGTGCCAACTCAAATATTTTCTTTTTGTCCATAGGCCAAGTTTGTTTCCTTACTACACCTATCTAGCAATGATATCGTTATCCGTGACTTGCAATCAAAATAAAAGAAGAAAAAGAACGTTCATGATGAAGTAATATTTTCCTATTTACTGATGCTTAGGGCTTTTTGAATTTTTAATTGCAAACACTGGCTTAAAATGTTATAAGCTTGCCAATAAAAAAACTCTTAATCTAAAATTTCTACTTTGGTTTACGTATCACAAGTCATAAAGACAACTGACAGTAGCAAAATAATTTGGTGTAAAAACGTACCAAAATGCTATGCTAAAAATAGCATTGTAAAGCTCTACATTTCTTGCTTCTGTCATATGAGAATTACTGTCAGAGTTTTGGGTTGTTTTTCGCTTTGTTTTTTAACATGCAACTGAGTTGCACTCATGACTCCACATACAGGGAGCAATCTTTACAGTATATTCCAACCAGTTAATTAAAAATAAACTTAGACTTATTGTTGGTGCTGATTTTAATGAGTATAAATCTTTACAGTTCAGAGATGTTAACTGCATCATACCATATGCTCAACAACACGCTTCACTGTTGAGATAATATAGCACACTTTACCATTAGGAAAGTAAGCTCATCCTCTGGAACAGGCTCCAGGTCCGGAACAGTAAAGGATTCTGGGAACTGTGCTCCCTTGGCCAGAGCTTCAGCAGCTTTTATGGTAGTAGAGAAACACTCTAGCCAGGCCCATTCTGTGGGATTCCAGGCTGAAGGATCAGGGAGGCAGTGCTGGTGATGAGGTGGTACTGGGGGATTGCACAAGAGCTGATCTAGGTGAAGGCCCACGGCGAGTGATGCCAAGCACTGCATATAAGGACTATGAACAAGCTGGTCTCCACAAACAACATGGGGCTAAAGGGAGTTGGGGAGAAAAATGGAACAAGCAAAGTCAGAAATATATATTAATCAACTCACGAACAGGAGTCCTTCAAAGCTAGTCCTGTAGAAAAATACCTTCCTCCATCCTTAATCAAAGTTTTTCTAAGATTTTAAATATTCTCAAATTAGGAGACTTTTGAGAAAGTCTCCAAAGTCTTATTATCTTTGAGAATACTGAAAGACATTTGCAAACAGGATGTAGGAAAACTCTTCTGGGTTCTCTGTGGTGAAAGACTGAGACCAGCTGAGATTCAGTGATCCCACATCAGACATGAATTTTAAATGTTCGCATTTGCTCTTCTTACCTTTTCGTAAGCATACTGTTCCTGAAGCATTATTGGCAAACGTTCCAAGAAAGCTCGCATGCAAGGAGCCATATTTAATCCCAGAACTCCTTGCTGTTTCAGTGCAGTCCTACACGTTGCAAGGACGTGATTGGAAGATATCCACTCTGACGTACAGTTCACTACCAACACATCCTGTTTAACAGGAGTCACAAGACACGTTAGGAATTAAAAAATCATAAAGCAGGACTATTCAGCTCCCTTGATTTATCACCAATTGTCTTAGTTTCCATAGGGGCCAGAAAACACACAAGCTTGAACATTTTTGTCTCCGTTGGTGAATAATCTGCTGACAAATGCTACGGAGTAGCCATCTCCATTTGCCACTTCCTCACATTCCCATGGCAATACTACGATTAACACTCCAAGGAAGAATACAAACATGGCAATAAGCAGAGTTCATTTCAGTGAATGCTGTAACCTTAGTTTAGTATTCAGTTTATGTGTAACCTTAGTTTAGGATTTGCCTTGTAATATGACCTCCAACATTCGGTCTGAATTCAGAAAAGACTTTCAAAGAATCCCAAAATACTTAGAACTACATGCGGCGTGACTCTACTGACAGGAGTCATAACTTGTGCCATATTTATCTTCATTCACAAATACCACCATCTTTTGGAATAATCAACTGTTATCAAGCTTCTGTTCGGATGCTAGCAGTTTCTGACACAGCAAACACTGCAGTAAATTCTGCTGCTCCTTAACAACTTCTGAGGTTCAGGCTGCTTTAGATTAAGTTAGATCACTGAAGTATCTTAATTGCTATGGGAAATGAAACATTTCTTAGTGCTGCACAAAGGAACAAAATAACAGTATCGCTGCTGCCATTAAACAGATAAGCTCATCTAATTGGTGTGCAGCAGCCTTTATAACTGCTGGTTCACAAGGATTTCACCCTGCCCCCCCCCGCCCCAAATTAAGTATGGGATATTATTAAAAAAACCCCAGTCTTTTTAGGGTCAGGTGATCGTTGAAAGCCAAAACAATGTGCCTTGAAAATATGACAGACTTAGACTGATATTTCTATCTGCATATTTCTAGGAAAAATATAGACAGACAAATGGCATTTTCTTTCAGGAAAAAAATTGAAAGAACATTAACAGATAGTGTCACCTTTGATCTGTTAGAGCAAGCAGCTACTCCAACTTCAGGTATCCATACTGCAGTCTGAATGGCTCCCGAACCTATCACAACACTCTGTAATACTGAACCATCCTAAGGAAAACAGCATTTCGAGTCAGTGTGTATACACAGCTACTTTCCTGTTTAAATGCATACAATCACACGCCTAAGGGATGATATTCTCCCAAGCTGTTCAATAACTATTTAAAAATGGAAATATTTATACTAAAAGCAAAAAAAAAAAAAAATCTAGCATTTTTATCATACTAAGGAGATAACACAACTAAGGATTTAGAAGTGTTTAATAATCTACCCTATCTGACCCTTGGAAAAGTTCTCAAAGTAAGAGAATATCGTTCCCAACTTTAAAGAGAGAGTGGCTGGCTCCACAAAGCCTAAGATGACAAAGTCTACAGTATGAATCAATAATAAAACCATAAAATATAAAATATTTCAATGTTAAGTACAATTTCAATTTATATTTTATTATTTGTAATTTTATACCACCATTTTATACTATGCCTTCTCTAACGTTTCTAACATACTGGGGAAAAAAAAGAAAGCTAGTCTGATGCCTTGGCCATTTCAGATACTCATACTAAAAAAAGAATCATGCCACATCAAAGATGATCTTACCCGTAAAGACCAAATATTCATGAGACCACCAAGTCCACCAGATACTAATGCCAGTCCATCAGGACTGAATGCAACAGTCCGAACAGGAGTAATATGTCCTCTCAGCTGAAATACACACTTGACTTCAACTGCTTTTCTGTATCCATCCTGCAAATTGTTTCATAGTTATGGAACACTGTGAACTATTTACAGAAAACGCAATAGCAGAACAGCTTCTGTATTCTGCAATAAATACTGATCATCTGTAGAGATGGGGTCATTTCCATAGGATAATAATAAAGACCAATACTATGATCATATTTCATAAATATCTTTATCACATTATCTTTTCTCCCCTTACAAAATGCCATCAAGATCAAAGACCACATTACAATTTACATAGGTGAATTTAATCTTGACTTAATTTTATCTTCAGTTTTAAACTCTTACTACATTTTCGTATAAATTTATCCACTTTTTAAAAAATGAAAACAGATAAAAATATACTCTTTAGCCAACTAAAATTAATTTAAGCCTGTGAGTTTTCATTTCCCATTCTGAAAATGCCTACACATACAAACGCAATATAAGCTTCTTTTAGCAAATGTCTTTTCTCAGGAAATGTTGAGATTTCAGTAACTTGCTTACTCTTCTCCTCTCACAATTTCGGAACGAGCAAAGAGAATTTCTTAAATACCAACTTCACTCCTTTTACCTTGGCACTTGTTTCCTGGTCCCACCATCCTTCTGAGCAAGTTGAGCTAGACTGCAATGTGATTACTATGTCCTGGGGAACAGTCCAGACACACACCAAACCATTGTGGCATCCTCTAAAGGAAGGCAGGATAAATCAGAAAAACAAAGTAAAGCTATTACCTAACAAAATGTCAGTGGTCTAGTATTAACTTAAAATATCAGTAGTCTTCACCATCTTCCACAAAACTATATTGTATCAATTAATCTAAAGTGGAAAGTTGTGTTCCCAATGAATAAATGCATTTTTCCCTATTCCCCCCACCTTGCTTTTCAATTTTTATTAACACCATATTCTCAGAAAAAATATTTGGATGAAACAAAAAAACTTCAAGCAGGACCACCACACACAGGTCTCAGGGCATGGAGAAACTAGCTGGTAAAATGATTAGAGCCACTCTTTTCATTTGAATTTTGAAGCCTTATGGATCTCATGACAAGTGGCTTACTGAATTAATGTTATTTACAAAAAACGACCAACTTTTTATTTATTCTGGACACTAAAGACTGGTAGAGAAGACCTGCAAAAGAGCTGTAACAACAATTAAAAAAATCACATACGTAGCTAGTAAAAGCTGCAACTTGGATCCTTTTCCTGGAAGAGCACACCAGGCAATGCCATTCACAAGAGCCAGGTGGGATAATGAATGCAGACATCTCCAGCATCCTCCCATATATCCCCAGAGTTTCACTGTTTCTTCTTTGGCACATGTCAGGAGAATCTTACCAGTTGGATCCCACTTCATACTAACAATCATATCCTATGGGATTTAAAAACATCAGAAGTCGGTATGAAGTCACACAGTAAGAACAGAGAAAATTTAACTCTCAGAGCTAATGTAATGTTTAATTCTTAATAACAAAAAACATTTTATTCTCAAATAAATCATTACAGAGACAGTGAGTTGCAACTATGAAATCATAACAATACTATTCAGAACTGTCAAATTAAGATAAAATCCTAGGATCCTGAGAGAACCTAAAGGAAAAGCATAGAAAAAAAGAAAAGTTATCTTCTCATTGCACACTTTTCTTGAATTTTTTTCCGCCCTCCCCAAAAAGGTAGACAATTTTTCCTTCTTTATATTATGAAATTACAGTATGAATTACCTTAATGGTATATTGTTCATAAACACACCAGGCAGCTGCCCAGATGTAGCTTTGAGTCTAACTAAGGTAGCAAAGGAGAACAGCCTATAGTGGAAAAGGCAAGCATAGTTGTATTGTCACAGCATGCTCACTTCTGTGACTACCAGGCTGCAAATACCACGACCAGTTCATGGAAGCACTACACCTACACTTGAGGAATTCTCCTCTTAGCCCAACAAATCACTTACAGACTATTAATGACTTATTATTGCATACTAGCCAAGCAAAGGATCTAAACCTTTGTGGCTGCATATTTAGAAAAAAACACCTTTTGCTTTGCACAAGAATTTCAGCTTTACAAAAGCATGTGACATAACCAAAATTAAAATTTAATTATGAGCACTTTTACAAAATAAAAGAACTACAGTCTTTTAAATCCAGACATGCATAGTTGTGCCCTTAATACACTTCTGTCACTGTATGTACATACACTTTACAATCTCTATTAGCAAAAAAGGCTATTAAATTTATTTTTCCTTTTTTTTCCAAATTCAGTAGACAGTTCCTTCAAAATATATTGTGTTTCATATGTGCATCTGAAATAGGTATGTGTTCTTAAAATAATCTGCATTTGACTTTATAAATAGATTTCAAATACAGAAAATAGCTTAAACAGACCTTTACCTACAAAAATTATACACGAGTTCTAAAAAGACTACCTCTACCTTATGTGCATCAACTAGAACGATTCCTCCTTTTTCAAGTGGTTCCTTTGTTCCTATTAGCAATTTTCCATCTGAATAGCCAACTGCAAATGGTCTGTCTTCACTGAACCAGGCAAGGCACGTGACAGAAACTACGTAAACAAACAACATGAATATTAAGCTAAATTGAACTTCACTCCTGCCAAAGAAGTTTTTGCAGTGCAATTGTCTAAAATATGAAGTGCGTAACAGCTTCCCCCACCACAAAGGCTACTTAACATATTTTGAGTCTGACAGTTTTCTGGAATTTGTATGGTAAAGTTAAAACTGAGTGCCACTGTAATGACAGCTGTTCAGATTATTTTGTAATAGTTTTTTCATTCTTCTTCTTTTTATTAAAATAATTGAATTTATATTCCCAACATGGTGAAAAGAGCTATGCTAGGGAAAAGAAAAAAGTAGACTGAATCCTATACATGTGTCTGAGATAGGGATGCTTCAGAGAAAAGCACAGAAAACTGGAGCCTTTCTTAGCACATCAATATTGCCTCACTTGATTCTGCCAGAAAATCTGCAAATTTCCTAAAGAAGCAATATGCAAAACTTCACAGTGATGTCCTACTTGATGTCCTCTTGGACTGGAACTACAAAGGAAAAATGGCAATAATTCATTAATTCAAATGACATGGACTACACGCTATCTGTAGACAGAGCAGACACTGCAGGGGATCTATATTGATTTTATATGATAGCAAGGAATGTCACGATTTCACTAGGTTGCTACAAACTGTTTCCCTCTGCTGTAGGGGAATCAGGGTGCAGATGGAGATCCCACAGACTTTCCTCCTCCCATGAACGCAAGTGGATGATGCTTGCAGGTAAAGTACCAGAAGTCATATCCCATGAACAATAACAAAAGATTGAGATTATATGCTTGCTTAATAAAAAAAAAAAAAGGGGGTGGGATTTTAAATTTCTACTTAAATACTGATACAGTCACCTACCATCCTTTCTGTAGCAGTGTTCCAGTTCTAGCCGGTGCATGGTTGAAATATCTACAACTTCAATAAGACCAAGAGATCCATCCATACGACCGATTAATAATAATTCTGGAGCATCTCCTGTCCATGCTGCAGCTGGCCCTTCTTCTGGCCAAGCTAGAGCAGATACCCAGTGAGGCTGAAGATCTAATAATCCTTTTCCCCCTAGGAGCCCAAAAAGTCTTTTAAAACTACTTCATCTTCATAAAGAAAGGAAAACAACAAAAATACTTTCCATGGGAAAATATCAAGAGATCCTATTTAGAGCTAGGACATACTACAAATTCATGTAACTTACAAGCCTATGAAGCAATGGTCCACTAATCTATGCAGACACAAAATCTAGCTAACAAATCTCAATTACCAGCAAAGTTACATAGTTTTGTTAAGAAAGGAAGCTACATTCTTCAGTACTCAGGAAATCTGTACTTCTGTTGACTGCCTATTAACATGGGCAGTGTAATTGGTGGTCTTCAGAAGTACAAAACAAGAGAATGAAGTTTCAGAGATTACAAATGACAAAGTGATTAACAGTCTTCCTCTCACAGAGTTCTAAAGGTATTATGCTGGATTAGTCAATTGCAGTGCAAATGTTAAATACCTGGGTAAACAAATATTCAACAACATAGCAGCTTCCCTAGAAATATGTTGTATCATAAAGTGTCACAGGCAGCTAAGAGCGTACCATTGACTTGCCATATGTTCACCATCTTCTCCGTAGCTCCTGCCAGATACTTGCCACTGATGCTCCAACAGACAAGTGACAAACTAAGGTCACTGGGTGATCCCAGACTTTCTTCAGAATCACCTTCTCTACAACAGATTAAAATAATGCAATTAAAAAAGGGCATTTCCTTTAAGCAGACAGGAAAACACAGAATTAATGAAATATCTGAATTAAAATCTGGAGTCCTCCTGCCATCACTGCAGATTCACATAATATTTTTTTCTGCTTATAGTTCTATTTATATTTAAAACCACTTCAAATTATAGCATAGGGATACCAGTTATTTCCACAGTAAGAAATTTGAAGTTAGGTTTCAATTAGAAGAAGTAGATTAATTATCTTTAACTTTACCTATTTATATCTCAAATTTAACATCTTTGTCAAGGGCTAAACCTTCTGGGAAGTCATGAAATGAAAGAGAACGGTTTGGACAAAAGAAGTGAACGAGGTACATCTTGCTCTCAATTCTAGCTTAAACTCTTCCTGCTGTTACAAAGCTGTTTCACTGTTCTAAAATTGTATGTTAAAGTTTGCTTTGGCTAACTGTAACGGCACAACTGGTATGCTTTATTGCCCTTAAGGTCATACATGACAGGCAGATTTTTTAGTGATTTCAGTAACGGGAAAATGAAGACTACAACATTGCCAGGATCCATGTCGTAGGCCAAATTCTATATCAACCCTGTATTTTTGAAGATACAGGAGACATCCCTTTGGTTTGTTCCTGCTTAAGCAGGAGATGTTTAATTTGTGAATACAGCAGGTCATAATGGCTGTTGTAGCTATTATTAGCAACCTTAAGTTACTAACGTAACACATGCAAATTACTAACATAACACATTGTGTTGGGTTTGTGTGGCAAGGTT